CTTCAGGGAGGCCTGGGATTTATAAACATTTTTCCAATTAATTAATGTTTTTAGTTGAGATAAAAAAGTCAGTGTCACGAGCGGGATTCGAACCCATGATCTTCGGCTCGGACACTAAATTCCCAGCTCAACCTCACCTCTCGAATTTTCCCTCCTTTTTGCCTTTTTTTCAAATGTCGTGTAATATATTTGATTCTCGGCGATAAATGAAATGGCCACGGAGAGCTTTCGTGAAGATACACTTCAGTTTAATTATTAAATCCATTACAGTTCGTGGTCCGATTGACCAATTAATATTTATGAAAGATATTGGTCGGGGTAAAAAAGTCAGCGTCACGAGCGGGATTCGAACCTACGATCATCGGCTAAATACGCTGCTGCTCTACCACTTGAGCTATCGTGACTTCGATCCGCTCGGACACTTAACTTCCAATCTCAACTCCACTTTTTGCATTTTCCCTCCTTTTTGCCATTTTTGACAAATGCATGGAAAATGCAAAAGGTGGGTTTTGAGATGGGAAGTTGGTGTCCGAGGGACGTTGGATTTTGAAGGGGTGTGGAAGGAATAGAAGTCCGGATAGAAAGACATTTTTATATGAAGAGTCGGCTTCTTTGAGGTGCAAGGAGCCAACAATGGGAAAAACGGGGTACAATGGGTAACGGTTCACCCTGATTTTCCTTTCAGGATTGTATAGACGGGGATAATTAGGGAAAGGAAAGCCAAATTGTTGAAGAATTGGACTATGTAGAAATGTTTGATGTGTGGAATGTGATGATTGTTTTATATATTATATGTTTTGTGTGATGGGATGGTGATATATGTATGTTATCAATATTGAATTTGATTAATGATATTGGCGGTAATTGCGACTGAGTTTACAAGTGTCTCTACTGGAATTGATGCTGTGTTAATCTCTGTTGATGTAAACCATTTCTAAAAAGTTGTGTTTACGTTTGTTTTGTCCTGTGTGTAATATTTTTGGATTGTTGAAGTCGAAATTGTATTGGTGTTCGAAATGGTGGGTAGCCAGTGCTTTAGGATTTGTTTGGGTTTTTTGTATTCATAGATATGTTTCTTTACTCTCTTATACAGATATTGGGATTTAATACATTAATAATTTAAACAATTGAATTTGTAAATTACGTCAGATTTATTTGTGTGACTGATGTGGGATCTTTAATTTGGAAAAAAGTGTGTGAATTGTTATATAGTTTTTGAAAGCTATTTTAAAGTTATCGGAAGAGAAAAATGTATTTAATTTATGTAAATGGAAATGTATGTTGGTTCGTCTATATGATGTCTGTTTGATATTTTTGATGTATTGTTATTAGTAATAATGGATGGTGTTAGTGTTGTTGATTATTCTGTTGATTATGTGTTTAGTGTAGTGATTGTTATGGAGAATATGTTTGTATATCTTTATGTTCTTGTGGTGAAATGATTCATGGCTTAGGGTAATAATTCTGTGAAGTAACCCTTTGGCCGTGTTTGTTATTGTGTGAAGAGTGCTGAGGTGTAAAGTTGAGGCAATCTGTGTTTCTTGGTTTTTGATACCAATCTGTGATTCATGTGCCATCTGGTTGTTTTATTACGAGTGTATTTAAAAATGGTATTGTTTCTAAAAATGGTATTGTTTTGTGGTTTTCGATTTCATGTGTAAATTGTAGGCGTGGGTGAAAGCTATTAAATGTTGTTGATATCGATCAATAAAAGATCTGGCATGAAAAATATGTTTGGTGAAGGAAAGAAACGTTTGATATATACTGAATGGGATCCTACAAATTGGATGATCAGTTTGCTGCCAGATCTGGTCCTCAGTTTGCTGATGATGAGCTTCAAATCCTTTTCTTAAGAAATATAAAAGGTGAGGATATATGGAACTGTAGATAAAAAATGCAGTCCAGGGGTCAGATTGGTGATGGGAGAGAGGTTCCGGCCATTGCTGGAGCTCTCAGACTTTAGGTTTGTTGGTTGAGGTTTACGGTTTTAGGCTCCTGTGTTTTTAGGCAGCAAGGAGGATTGCCAGGAGAGGACTTGAGCTAGTGGATTGATGTTAGTGGGGATTGAGTGGAAGTTGTGGAATCGTATTTGGATCATGCCCGTCACGAATGGGATGTCTAGGTCTGTGTGGGTGGTTTGGTTAGTGACATAAAAGGGAGCGTTGAGGATTCTACGGAGTACTTTTAATTGAAAGGATGGATTCTTTGGATTGGCTTGGCTGAACCCCACAGATCGACTCAATTTAGCTAATGTATTTCTTTACTTTGTTGTGTGAACTCATTGTAGATTTAAGCCCAATAGGCGTCTGAGTCGTCCGTATGTTCGGTTCAGTTCTTGTATTTTTTGTTTTATGCGTACGATCCGTGTAAGTCTGCTCTCCAAGTAAGACCCAATGTAGCGGATTTGGTTGGATTGGGAGATGAAGTGACTGTACTGGTGGGCTTACTGCTAAGTGTGAATGTGCCGGCTTTTTTTTCAAGCTTGATGCTCCATCCAGTGTACCAGTCGGTAATGAGGTCTAGCTTGTATTGGGTTGGTTTTGCTGCAAGGATAGGGTCAGGACGTTACGATAGGATTGCGGTGTCGTGCGCGAAGGTCATGATGTGGGTGCTAGGGTGTATAGGTATGTCAGCGGTGTCGATGTGTAGTGGATTTGTCTTAGGATACATCCTTGGGGAACGCCGGCTTGATGTTTGAAAATTTAGTGCCAATTCTCACCTAAAAAACAATTAAATTTCAGTATGTGGTGATAATCGCGTAGTTTCATGAGTTACATTGTTACCAAGATGAGTATGTTTAATTAATTAAAAAGGTTAATTTACACTGTAAAATAGGCGTTTTATTGAATATTTTTCAAGTTGCATATTTTTCGAAATCACCTTAAGGTGTTAGCGATCAAGTAGTCAGGAATTATTTTTTATTAGACGTTATCGAACTGATAAAAGTCGAACAACAAGCAGACGGTATCAAAATATTTTATAATTAAGATTGGTTATACATTTTTATTGAAAAAAAAAAATAGCTAAAACTTTTCACAGTGCACTGTACGTTTAGTTACTATCAAAATGTTTATTTGAAGAATAGATTTTGAAATTAGACGTTTGTGCTAATAACATTTACATATTTTATCTCGCATCTTTTAGTTTCTAAAGTAATTTTTAACAGAATAATAGGGCTTTTTCTGGGTCAAAAATTGGTTTTGTTTATGTTGAGATTTTTAATGGGTGATTCATTTCGAGTAAGTTTGGCGATAAGGTCAATCAACATGACTCAAAATGTTCTGCACCCAGGACGACACATTTCACTGCAGACCATATTGAAAAATAAAGATAAAATAGAAAATATTCTATTTTTTCAATGTTCATCCCGGACTTCGCCACTTCGGATTACTACTGTCCTAGGCTTTTTACACAAGCACAAGACTGAAATAAAGACAAACCTACTTGTAACAGGTTTTTCCATTTAAATTAACTAAGTTAATTAAATTAATCAAGTGTTGCGTAAAGGGGCAAAAGTGAAATTGGACAGCCTTTATAATTACATAAATTATTGAGGCAACCCTACTGCCTTAGTTTTTACCATATATTTTTTCGTTTGTTTTTATGAAAAATAGAAAATAAATAAGTTGACAAAAGGGTTGATTCTTTCAGGCTAACCTCGTCCGCTTTTATTCTTTCTGTTTCGCCTGGTTAAATAAAACGACTAATCAATAAAAAAACAATCTCTTTTACTCTCCCTCACTAACTTAAATTATCCCTCTCCCACACACTCTCTCTCACTCTCTCTCTCTGTCTCTCTCTTTCTCTCTCTCTGTCTCTCTCTAATTTCTTGTTAATTATAAGGGAGGTCGCACGCGTCCAAAATTTTAAAAATTTTTTAAATAAAACCGTAGTCATTCATTATTTTCTAACTACCTGACAATCTCTTTTTCTCACACACTATCTTCCTCTATCGTCTGTCTGTCTGTCTGTCTGTCTGTCTCTCTGTCTCTCTCTCTCTCTCTCTCTCTCTCTCTCTCTCTCTCTCTCTTTCTCTCTCTAATTTCTTGTTAATTATAAGGGAGGTCGCACGCGTCCACAATTTAAAAAATTTTTTAAATAAACCCATAGTCATTCATTCATTTTCTAACTACCTGACACTCTCTTTTTCTCACACACTATCTTTCTCTATCGTCTGTCTTTCATTGTCTNCTCTCTCCCTCCCCCTCCCTCTCCCCCTCCCCTATGGTTAAATAAAACAATCAATCAATAAAAAACAATCACTTTTCTTTGTCTCTTTCTCTTTCCTCTTTCTCGATTCAAAATATTTTACTTCGCGTAGTAAATTAAATTAAAATAAAAAAAAAAAACCAATATCTTTCTCTCTCTCTTCCTCTCTCCTTCCCACCTCTCTCACTTTCTTCTTTCTCCATCTATATTTTCTCTGCATTTAGAGTTGTTAGGTTGTTTTCATTGGTTTTATGGGTTCAGGTAGCGTCTTGCCGGTTTGCCCATAGTAATTTGTCCCTGCTTTCTCAGGGATTCAGCTAGAACATTTATAAATTACAGTTCAACAACCTACATTGTGCAAGTAGAGTATCATAATTTCGATTATTTCTCTTCGCTAGTCGTGTAGACTTCCCCTTCCTGGAGTGTTAGGAGAGAATAAAAGAGAAAGTTGCATTATTATTTTTTGCTAACGTTTCGTAAGGGGTTTTTCATGTTGCCGTAGGTACTTGTTGTCCAATATTACGCCGGGAACCGCAGAAGTCACGTTTGTTGGGGTTATTTTATTTTTTACTGGGTCCGTCTTGTCACGTAATGTCCTGCAATCACGGAAATTAATGCCCCAGTGGCACCGTTTCTTTTCCCAACGACCGCAAATTATCTCACCGCCCTTATCTTCAACTCGAATAAAACCTCTGGGTCGTGCAATTTCACCGATAATTATTACTTTACTATGTTTTTAAATTTTTCTTGTTTTCGATATGTATGTATTGAAATGTATCTTTTGGTTATAGATGGACGACCACTCGCATCATGACCATTTCGGTCACGGGGATACGGATTACAATTCATCTCACCAAGATCATAGCATTCCGGGCCACGACCACTCATCCGATAGCCACGCCACACACGATCACTCGTCTCACGCCGGCCACATGATGATGGTTCGCAAAACAAAAAAAATCCCGGCGACAGTAGGTCAACTTAATCTTATTTTATTCATTTAAAGATGACGTTCCACTTTGGGTACAATGAGGCGATTCTCTTCGATTTCTGGAACGTAAGCACGATCGCCGGCTTCATCAGCTCCTTCATCGGCATTTTCGTCGTTTCCCTTATCTACGAAGGGATTAAATATTACAGGTGTATATTACATGTTTTGTTTTAAACTTTTTTCTTTTTCATTAGAATAATGTTTTATTTATTTTATGTGTACAGAGAGTATCTATTTTGGGAAAACCTGAACAATACTCATTACAAATCTGTAACAAATGGTCGAGCGAGGAGTTCCAGCTTGCCAGGAGGTGTCGAACCAATCACCAGGTAGTTTTTATTTTTATTTTTTTTTGATACAAAAGAACATTAAAAATTAAAAATCTAAAATCTCGGTAGAATAACTTAAATCATCAATTACACTTAATCAATACACTTAAAATATACTTATTTATTTGTAAAATTGTCACGAGCCTTATCTTTTTTTTAGATTTATCTAATTTACCCGTTAATCGCCTGTAAAGCCAGATTTGATAACCTTGTTGATTGTTTTTTCTTTATTTCGTCTATTTCTTTTACAGCAGTTCAGATAAAAATGAGTCAAACATATTTTTTGACTTAAATTATTATTTTACTTGTTATTGTGAATTTCGGACTAAAGGGTTATAATTTACCGAGCCTTTGCAATTAATTTATCATTAGTTAAAAACCAGCAAACAAGGCCAATTACTTGTTTTATTTCATAATTCTTCAAATCATGCTAGATGATTTATTGAAAGTAGTTTAAAAAAATAATTTGGTCACTTTTGTTAAAAACACCATATTCAATATCTAAATAATTATTTCTTTAGAGTAAACTCCGACCAACAAGAATAGACGAGCTAGCAAACAAAGATTAGATGACCTATAAGCCGTATTTTTGCAAAAAGGTTGACTTATTCTGTTAAACAATGATAATACAATATTTATAATAAAAAATATTGGGTTTGATATCTATAAAATTGATTAAATAATAAATGTAAAAATTATTTAAAAATTTGATTTAGAATTACATTAGTAGCCTGTCAAAATAAAACGGAGGACCGAATAAGGTAAATTCGTTATAAAAAGTGTGTAGAATTTCGAAATTGTTCCTCTGAGTCTTTTAAGTAAGTTCAATGCCTACAATACATTACTTAGGAATTTAATTCTTTCGCCAATCAATAACGAGAGATAGAGACAATAAATACGTAAAAAACTAATTTATCCTCTGGTTTTTACCGTTTTCTCGGTTAGTTTGAGATTTAAGAACTTAAATCTTACACTAATTGACTCGGGAGGGATGGATCTAAGTTTTCTCCAAATTCTCTTGGTCCTCTGGACTGTTGAGGACATTCTCGACTCATCGGTGAATGCTTTTTTCCTATTCCTCCACGATTTGTTTTAACTTGCTTTGAATATTCTTTAACTTGATTTGAATATTCCCCGAATTCCAGCGATCAAGAAGCTTAGATAACAGAAGTATCAAAAAAGGAAAACTTTGATCCTTCGTTTGTTGGTAAACAGTGATTAATAATGATACATTTAATTACCTAATGTCACAAAGTGCGTTTAAATGTGTGTCCGTCCCGTCTCGCTTCTCACGCGATGCGGGATGTCGACAAATACTGAAGACTGCCCTGATTGTCGGTCAAACTTAGATCAGTTACCAAAATTGTTCCTTTGTATTTTTAAAAAATAAATAAATACGCTTGGTGCAGTTTTTGTAGAAAAAGTAAAAATTTCCCTATCAGAGAAAAGTGATAAATCAATTCTTGTTATTATTAAAATTCAATTAATTAAGGTTTTAAGTTGAGATAAAAAGTCAGTGTCACGAGCGGGATTCGAACCCACGACCTTCGGCTTGATACGCCGCTACTCCACCACATGAGCTATCGTGTCTTCGATCCGCTCGAACACTTAACTTCCAATCTCAACCCCACTTTTTGCATTTTCCCTCCTTTTTGCCATTTTTCAAATGTCGTGTAATCGGATTGGATACCCGGCGACAACTCTACCACTTGAGCTATCGTGACTTCGATCCCCTCGAGCACCAACTTCCCATCTCAACCCCACCTTTTCAATTTGAGGGTTGCGATGGGAAGTTGGTGCCCGAGGGGATCGAAGTCACGATAGCTCAAGTGGTAGAGAGTAGCGGCGTATCAAGACGAAGGTCGTGGGTTCGAATCCCGCTCATGCACTGACTTTTTATCTCAACTTAAAACCTTACTTAATTGAATGTTATTAATTGGTCAATCGGACCACGAAAAATAGTGAAATTATTATTAAATACATTTTTTATTATACATTATTTATTTTATTTTTAGTGGTGTCATTGACCAAATTACTCCTTTCAATTAATTATTCTTTTTATGTAAGTTTTTGGTTGAAATGAAAAAGTTAGTGTCACGAGCGGGATTCGAACCCACTTCGGCTCAATATGCCGCTGATCTAACCACTTGAGCTATCGGCTGGGGTAGGTTCGAATCCCGCTCGTGACACTTTTTCATTTCAACCAAAACTTTACATAAAAATGTTAATTATTATTACCAATAAACATGTGCCAATTGTATATGACCTGCAAAATAAATGTAAGGTTTGAGCAGATTTATCTTTTCGGTTCAAATCTTGGTGGGTCCGCCCAGTCTCCATCTACTTTAAATCATTTGCCTAACAGAGGACAAGCGAGAATGCGCGGACCGACCAGGTCATTCTGATGGCCTATTTTTTAGTTATCTATCGATACCATCTAATCCTATCACTTCATAGATTTGACATTTTTTTGACAAAAATAAATCCTGTCCCCTGTGTAAATCCTACTTTTGTTATTATCGTGTAAATTATAACCCTTTACTCGTCGTTTTAGAAAAAAAATGTAGTAAAAAAATCCTCTGAGTGTCTGAAATATCTGAAAAAGTTTTGTTATTTTTTTTTCCAGTATCCAGGATGTGTTGCATAAGCAGCCGGCGTGAGTGATTTGCATTTGCACATCGCCTGTTGTCGATTGATTGATTAATTTTGCACGCGGATTTTCTTTCTTTCTTTTTCTTTTTTTTACGCATTGTGCACATCTAACCAAAAATCGTGTACGATCGTTGGATAATGCATGCCTCTCCAAATACCAACGGTTATCGTGGAGAAGGGGTCAGGGAGATTAGAATGTACCATTACATTCGAGGTCTCCTTGATCCAAGGCTGACAGTTGCTTAACTAATGTTTCGTTATTTCCGCGATCTCATTCTTCTGGGAAGTGATCCATGATTGCGGATCTCATTTGAACAATTAAATTAATAAAAGGTTAACTATTCATAACGCTAATAAAAAATCAAAATATCACAATAAATAATCAATGCACTTGTACTTAAAAACGCTTTCAGTTCAATAATATTCACAAATCATATGTAATATTTAAAAAATTATCATCCTACTGCTTATTTATGGACATTTTTAACCATAACGGATTATTATGTATTATATAGAATTGATCCATGGATTATCTTCAGATTTATTTGTAAATTTAGTTTAATCCAGGTATTAAAATTTTTTGCACGGCCGAGAAAGGGAAAAAGTGTTTTCTCAATGAAATGTAAATTTTTGTTAAGAGGTAGTAGTTCGAAGGGGTATTCATTCGATTTCGGATTCATGTCTGAACAGTGAAGGTTTTTAAAATTTAAACTTTTCTTTACAATAATTTAAATGTATATGATTAAAAAATAGATATTAAGTTTAAAATGTGTTGAAACATGTCGGAGTGTGAAGCAAGAAAAGCAACCAAAACTAGGCATCTCTGGATAAACTTTTTTCTCAATAGATTCTCAAAAATGAAATTTCTTCGAGGGGGTGTCGTAAATCGTAGCTTAGTAAGTTCTAAATAAGTTTTTCAGACTTGGAAATTGAACGAAATCTTTTCTTTGTCGGAAATGAGGTTTTTGTTACAAGGTAGTAGTGCGAAGGGCAAGGCCCGGTGTATCGTAAACGTTACGTCAATGGCGTTCAGGCGAGTTTCGGAATATGGCGAGAAGCCGTCTGACAAAATAGCTTAGATTGAAAGAAGACCAGATTCATCGTCCAAAGTTCACCCCTCTTCAAGAGGTCACCAAAATACAGAAGTTTGACGTTTACAGGTTGACTGTTTCGGTCCTAAATTGCTTTTTGTAATTTTTGTCGCCTTCCTTGCACCGCTAATTCCTACCATTAGTTTTGCGTTGACCATTTTTTTTTAAATGTGTTTTGTATTATCGAAGGCACATTGGCTGTGACACTTCAAGTTTCAATTCTCTGTTTTAAGGTATACTTTTTAAAATAGATATTTCCAGTGTGTTTAGTTTGACTTTTTCTTTCTGGTGTTCCACTCTTTCCTGCAGAGCTTAAATTTTTTCTGTCGACTGTATGTGATGGTATATAAAATATAAAATAAAAGCAGGGTATATTTATTAGAAGTTGTGCCTTATCTGTTGTGGAGTTTTCTTGGTATTGCACGGCCGAATAGTGCCGGATGATCCAAAAGCGAAGAAACGAATGAGCACGCGTCCATTAGAACCAATTCGTTCGGTCGTGTTGGGCCGTGTACGGCCGAAGCACTTTCCGACCCAAATAAAGTTGGATTTTCCAGTCCTATTCGGCGGAATGGTTACTTCGACTGTCAACCACGTGACATCAAACGCTCACCATTGTTTAACGCCGTTCTTTGCTTTTTGCTTACCTTTTCGTTTCGTTTTCATTTCGATGGATTGCGAAAAATAGATAAGTGCGGTTGAGGAGCAGGCTCTTGGGACATGCGTGATCCACTCTATCATCGGAGAGATGAGATGTCCAGCGTAAGCTGTGGTCAAGGATAGCTTTAGAAATTGAACTTCCAATATTTTTGTTTATTTCTTTCATTCCATATGTATGTGAACTAAGAATTTTCGAGCAGCAACTAATCTTCTACATCCATTTGGGCGGTGTCGTGAACTGACGAAAATCGGCTACAGTGGACGACGGAGTTCCGGTCCAGTATTGCCGGTCGTCCGTTTGGTCAAATAGTTCGGCTGTTGAACGGCCGTCGTAGTTCGGTTCCAATAGACGAGCAGCCTAAAACCTTTACGGGATGAAACACGTTTTACAAATCTCTCTTGTCAAATGTTTAAACAATTAAGAGTTAAACGCGAATGGCGTTGTGCTACAGATTTGAAAAACAACTATACTTCATAGGTCCTTTAAGCGCGGTGGATGAGATTTCGATGGAAAGAAAATAAGAAATTTTCAACCTTACAAGAAGAAAAGAGCGAGAAATCGCAGAAATTTTTTTCCATGTCTGAGATTGTGAGCGTAAGCGGTGGTTGCTATGTTAAGCATAATCAATAAAAGCGGTGTATGCCGTCAAATCGGTTGGGTGCTTGATGTTTGCTATTTTCTTACCCTTTAATCAAATCATACTGTCTACCACATCTGGGTCCTATCATAAAGACCAATTTTTCAAGAAAAATGTGCATTTTAACCTTCGATTTTGTCCCGTGTATGCTCCAGGACCTTTTCTGTTTTTTGAGCCATGTGGGTGTACCAAATAGTAATCCTTTCTCTATTATCAGTGCGTACATGATCATACTTTTGTGCTTTCTCTCTTAAAGTTGTAATTGTTTGGCATCATGGATGCTTATAGATGCTTGTCCTTATGAGCAAGTGATCAAGCTTCTTCCTGGCGATGATGTAGGTTTAGTAACATCTCCGGTACAGCGTTGATGTAGTTTGAGAGGACTTTAATTGCTGCATTTGATACGTACAGATGACTTGGTTTGACAACGGACTGGAACTGCTCAAAAGAGCACAACTCTTAGAACTGTTGCTACCGGTTAAGGCATCACAACACCCAGTACCCGTTTTGGCTTCACTTTTTTCTTTTTCTTGTTTTTCCTTGTTAAAAGACGAACATATCATCTATCCATGTGTATTTTTTGCTATTACTTCTTTATACAAGTTTAATTTGTCAACGAATAAATTACAAATGTAAGAGACCTAGATTTGATAAGTACAATAGCCTCATTTTTCTTCGTAATTCTTGAGTTTGTTGTCAAATAATACCTTACCAGTCCTAAAATGACTGTTCGACTTTGAAACATTTATTAGGTGTTGTAGATTGAATTCGCTTACTGCATGTTTCTTTTTAATATAGAAAATCTTACTTTTTCTTTTTGTAAACTAATTTTGCTTACTTGTTAACCAATTTTTGCTTTATAAGTGGCTTTTATGTTGCGGTGGTTTATTGTGTAATTGTTTCAGCCCGAGAATTTGGAGTTGGTTCAACGCGATGCAGACCATGCTTCACATGCTCCAGATGACTATCAGCTATCTGCTCATGCTCATATTCATGACTTTCAACGTCTGGCTGTGCCTGGCGGTGGTCCTCGGTTCCTCGACGGGCTACTTCTTCTTCGGCTGGAAAAAGACATTGGTCGTCGACAGGAACGAACACTGCCACTGAGGCCGTTGCGATTGTTCTTTTCTTTTTTTTTAAACCGATTCGTAGACATATCGGTAGCTTGGAAATAGATAAATCCGATTTTTATCGCAGCTCACATGTTAAACGTGAAAGGGCACGGGACCAACGTCTCGTTACTTTTTTAACTGTATTGACAGTATTTGTTCCCTTTTACTTTTAATTAATGGTGTATTTTTTATTTAGAGTAATGTAATATATTGTTCTTAAATGACATTTCTTATTTTATCAATTTCAAAAGATGACAAGTATAGAATTTATTTTTTTATATCTGAATATTATGGCTTGTTCGATAGTGATTGTGAAAATCACTTAAAAGAATATAGTAAATGGATAATTTATCTGTGGAATATTACATGTGTATATGTTGTTATAAATATATGTAAATAAATAATGGCGACTTGGGGAGGGGTAACGTCTCCGAATGGCATTTATCGATAAGATTTGTTTATAAAAGAGTAGAAAAAGTTCTTGATGAATACGCAGGATGTTATACGATTCAAACACCTATTGATTTCTTCCATATTTATAGATATTTATTTTATTTAAATTCATGTTGGATCACAATGATCAGTATTGTTGAAAACGCCTGTTCGAGGCTAAATATTTTGTACATAACAGAAATTAAATAAATAAGATGATAATTTTTATTTTCCATTGTCCTATTTCGAAATTTCACGACGAAACCTTTCTACACCGTCCATATTTAAAAAAGAAAGAAAAACCTTTTTTAGACTGAAGTTTAAAATTATTAAGTTGGTCATGACTTACGACCTCTGGCCAAAATTACAAGAGCGGAATCCCTCTGCATTTAGTTTTAGGAGAAACCTATCCAAACCCCTTGCCTCAAAGCATTTCGTTGTGACACTCATATTTAAAAGTCTTAAAAGTTACCTGCTTCTTTTCAAAATGGCGACGATTGTAAGACGCTGTGGTACGTAGTTAGGATTAGGTCTCAAACCGTTATTATTTCAATTATCTTTAGTTTCACTTATATAAAGTATCTCGTTAAAACCTTTGTGCAAGATTATATAAAGAATTTAAAATTTTCCATTGACTAACAATGTCTTCCTCTTTCTCTCAAAAATGGTGTCTATGTGTTATGCCAGTTTATTTCTTATTTTGCTGTTCAATAGATATTTTTATGTTTTTTCTTCTCATTCACTTACTCTCTTCATCTCTGTTTTGGTTTTTTCACTGGTTTTTGCTTCAAAGTTAAATACCAGCTTCTTCAGTTAATCAAGCTTTCAATCTCTCTCTCTTTCTCTCTCTCTCTCTCTCTCTCTCTCTCTCTCTCTCTCCCACTCTTTCACTCACTTACTCATTTCTCTTTCTCTTATTCTTAATACTCGTTGATTGTTAGAAAGGCCTAAATTTGTGGTTTTATAAATAAAACCTATCTCTGCCCAACTTTCTGTCTCTCTCTCGCCCTCTCTCACACCCCCTCTCTCTCTAACTATATAATTATCTATTTATCGTTCTCTCTGTTTCTGTCTATCGGCCGTCTCTAACTGTGTGTGTCTGTGTGTGCTTCTCTCTCTCTCTCACTCTTTCTCTCCATCGATCTATCTATCTCTATTTCTCTCCGTCTCTGTCTGTTTCTATCTCGCCTCTCCATCTATATATTTATCTCTCCTTCACTTTCTCACCTCTCTCCCTTTCTCCCTCTCTCTCTTTCCCTTTCTCCCTCTCTCTCTTTCCCTCTCTCTCTCTCTCTCTCTCTCTCTCTCTCTTTCTCTCTTCCCCCCTCTCTCTTTCCCTCCCTTCCTTCCTCCCTCCCTCTTTCTCTCTCTCTCTTTCGCTTTCTTCCTTTCCTTGTCCATTTTGCTTATCTAGTCCCTCACCTAGTTCTTATCTTCTTTTCTTTGTCACCTTTTTCACTCCCAACTTATTTCACTTTGGTCCTTGGACAATGTTGACCAAGCTCTGCGACTGTAAATAAAACTATTAATTCATTCTCTTTTCTCTCTCGGACTTTTCTCCTCTCCTTCTCTATTCCTTTTCCTTATTGAGTCTCATTTTGTCTCTATTTAATCTTTTTCGCGATACAAAATCATAAATATAAATAAAACCTTATGTATAGATTCTTAACGTTTTATCTTTTTTTTCGTGTCAATATTATATTCCTAATGCATTTACTGTTGATATATGTCATTCCAAGTATTCAACTTAATGTCTCGTATTTAATAATAATTTACTTGTCCCATTGTTCTGTTTGGTTAATTACAAACTGGTTCAAATTTACGACGTGTTGCTTTTAAGCTAATTTGTAAAGACGATGGCTAATTTAATTTTTTAACACCAATAAAATTTACGAATAGCAGAATCGAAAATCGCCAACATTAAGGCCAACATTGCCATCAATGATGTGACTGGAATCTAGCTGACCCAAATGCGTTGATTTAAATTGCCGCCTATTCAGCACGCGGCTCATATTTATTTCTTTAATAAACTGTTAATTAATCTAGATGCCTATAAACGCTGGTTTTAAGATTTAAATTTGAATATGCTGTTTGTGCAGCCATTGAAACAACATGAATTGCATATTACCGAGAGGGATAAATTTTTTTAAAATTGTTTTTTCTTCTTCAAAATGTATTTTATATACTACGCGCACGTGTTTGAAGACATTAAGAAGAAAAATATGCTACAAAAAATCTCTTCTATAAACGTACAAAGTTGTAATTTTAAGTTGTGAAAGCCACCTTTACGCAATATTGTAGTTTGTAGTTCAATAGTGGGAGAACAGGACTGGAAGTAGAACAGCGCGTACTTGTGCAAAAAATGAAAAAACAATTTTCTTCAGTATAAAGGAAAAAGCAAAAGCTCAGAATGAGAGATAATAAGTGAGCCATAGTACATAGTGCGAACAAGAAAAAGACATCATGATGAGAGAAAGAAGTGACAGGTTAAGAGAGCGAGGGGGAGGACTGACAATCAAAAAGAAAAAGAAAAGTGGAAAAGTAAGAAGATGAGCGACTGAATGATAAAGAAGCGATAAAGTGAGACAGAAAAAGGGCTAGAGACAACATGAGAGGTTGAATAAGAAAGAGAAAAAGAGTGAGCGACACCGACAACGAAAGAAAAGAAAAAGGGAAAAGGAGAGTTATCTCACTTTATAGTGAGAAAGAAGGGAAGTTAGAGAGAAAGGCAGAGAGAGGGTGAGAGAGAGAGAGAGAGGCACAGGGAGAGAGAGAGTGAGAGAAAAGAAAAGATGATGAGCGAGAAAAAAAGAGAGAGTGACTCCGGTAAGTATTGACTTAAAGAGAAGAAGTGATATAGACAAAAGAAGACTGAATGAAAAAAGGAGAATAAGAGAGTAGAGATAGATACACGATGGACAGCAAATAAGAAAGAGGAAGACAAAGAGAGAAAGAAAAGTGAAAAATAAGAAGATGAGGGAGAATGAGTGAGAGAAAGAGACGGATAACAGAAATGACGGCTTGAGTGAGAAAAGAAGAGAGGGTGACTGCAGTAAGTAGTGAGAAAATAGAGAATAAATGGAGAATAAGAGAGTTGAGATAGATTCAAGGGAAAAATGAAGAAAGGGAAGAGAGAGAGAGAGAGAAAGAGAGAGAGAGAGAGAAAGATAGAGGGAAAAAGAATGTTCAATGAAAGAAAATGTGAGTGAGAGGAAAAAACAAACTGAAAGTGAGAATGAGACATCTAAAACATTATAAAGGGATTCTCCAAGAAAAAAAAACAAAAAAAAAACCAACAAGTTTTTATGAAATTTATTGAAAAGCAGGGAGGGAGAGAGAGAGAGAGAGAGAGAGAGAGAGAGAGAGAGAGAGAGAGACAGAGAGAAGGAGATAGATAAAGGCTGGGACCAGAATGAATGAAAAAAAGAAAGAGTGAAAGACAGGAAAAAAGAAAGAGAGTGTGTGAGAAATAGAGTGAGAGAGGGTGTGAAAGAGTGAGAATGTAAGGGGGTAGTGATAAGAAAGGGGAAATGGGATGCCTGACTGGTTTCGAAAACGATATGCCTGTTTATGTAATTAGGCAGATGTACTCAGAGATAGTGGTAATAGAGAAAGAAATACTGAGATACCCACTGTGTCGTCACATTGTTTTCTTTTGAAACGTTTTCTGATCAAAGCACGTGTTTGGATGGAAGCACAACTACAAATAATGAAAAGCTACCATTTTCTCGTATCTTCCGAGGGTTTATCTCGAAACTACAATCGACGTTCCCTTCTAGATATTTGGTTCAAGGCTGTTTGAAAGGAATAAGACAGTTCATCAGCAGAACGACAAGGCGATGAGTCAAAAGTCGATACATATGAGCTCATTGGGAGTTTTTCTCCTAGACGATCGTACAAATTTTACAATTCATCGCTAACTACCTGATTGTAACTTGAATACACATGTCAATTTGGTCAGACACTTACTGCGTTGTAAACACATCCAAAGTTGTCGATTTTTTAAAATTTCGACTAAATTGAAATAAATAAATGGTAATTATATAAATAATACATTATCCTCTTCGTCTACTTGTGTTGCCAGTAGATTCTACATTCAAAACGGAAACAAAAATTCCTAATTAACTACGGTCCGAATCTCATCCAAGAGAATCCAATCCGATTACACGACATTTGAAAAATGGCAAAAAGGAGGGAAAACTCGAAAGGTGGGGTTGAGATGAGAAGTTAGTGTCCGAGTGGATCGAGGTCACAATAGCTCAAGTGGTAGAGCAGCGGCGTATCTAGCCGAAGATCGTGGGTTCGAATCCCGCTCGTGCCATTGACTTTTTAATCTCGACTAAAAACCTTAATTAATTGTAATATATTAATCGGTCAAGCGGACCACGAAATTAGTGAATTTAATAAAACAATGATTTCAATTGTGTTTAAAAATCAAAATGGAATTCGATAAAGGGAACTGGATATTAAAAAACAAACATATTTTTTGTATCATATGCATATTTGTGCATATATAAATGGGATCGCAAAACGTTTTTTTCACATGGTCACAACACTAATGCCAGCGGTGCATCCCGAAGGCATATGCCATGAGAAACCAGCTAATGCTGGCGTTCATTGTGAGGGATTACGGGTCGACGTGGCGTGTTGTCTGGACGGGAATTTGTAGGGTTGGATGGATGGAGAGGTTGCTGTGAAACCTTTGGTACAGGAACGGATCAGTTCGTGGACAAATGGAATGTTGGTCGTTGTGAATAGTGAGGTTAGTAAGGAGCTTTGTCGATTTCAATGAGGACTTTTGATTTGAAGGATTGGATGCGCCGGATATTGGATAGCTTGGCAGAACAGAAACAACATTTCCATTCTGTATGTCTAAAACGGTCTTGCAGGTTACTTTAGTATTGGTGGTTATGGCTGATTTTGGTCCTAGAAGTCTTCGTAGTTGTCCAAGTTTTCGGTTAAATCTCTCTCTCTCTCTCTCACTCACTCACTCTCTGTCTCATTCGCTTGGTTTGGAACTTTCGGGATCGTAACAGGATCAGTTCGTTGACAAAAGGAATGTTGATGTTGTGAAAATGAGGTTAGTGAGTAGTAAGGAGATTTGACAATTTCTTTTGAATAAAAGGATTTGGATACGCTGGATTTTTGATGGCTTCGACGTCAATCTGCTGTCTAGGTATAGTCTTAAGTACTGTCTTGAATGGAATATCTCTTCTTTTTTT